GGACGGGCAACGAGATCGCGACCCTCGGCGTTGCTGCCGCACCTCGCTCAGCCAGTGAGCGGGAACCGGTCTGTATGTGGGATCCGAACCCTCGGCGGGAGGGCCGCCGCGCTCCCAAGCGGTGCACTGTAGCAGTGCGCCACCGGGCCAGCCCTTATTTTCCCTTTCTAATGTCCCGTCAATCTAATTTTCTAAATATACCTAGGTAATGGCAAAATAAGAAAGCTAGAATCATATGCCTTATTAATCTTTCTTTACTCTACAAAATCTCTAAATATTGAAATAGTATTCACTTTTGTTTTTCAAAACACCAACAATTTAATATGCACATAAAAGAGAAATTCTTAAGAAAAAAAATCAAGTTAAGTAGCAACTATGAATGGACAAAAAGAATAAATTGTAACTTTTTAGTCAGTAAAGTTAAATTTAAAATGCATTTTATGGTAATCTTTATCCGTGGTCTATAGGAGTATTTGAAGGACTATATAACAACAGGTATAAAGCCCACAGTTTTTCTCAAATCTGAAAACTCACATCTCTGAATTATTGGCAAAAAATAAAATAAAATTATTTGCAGTCAAGAAAAATATAAACAGACAACCTTAAAATGATTGTATCCTTTGGCTAACCCGAAGCATGCAGAATGAGACTAAGGCATCATTCTTTTATCAGATTTTTAACAGTGATAAATATGCCTTAGAATTTTCGAGAGTCTTTAAAAAATACTGTTTCTGGGGCCGAGCCCACGGCGCACTCGGGAGAGTGCGGTGCCGCTGGTTCGGATCCTATATAGGGATGACCAGTGTGCTCACAGCACTCACTGGCTGAGTGCGGTGTGGCCGGTCTCAAAAAGGACAAAAAAAAAAAAAAAATACTGTTTCTGGAATGTACTACCATTGAGTTAATACAGTGAAAATATGGTTAATGAGAAAAAACACAACATGAGATTTTGCATGTTTTAAACATACATTAATAAATAAATTTCTGCAGGAAATAAACACAAGGTGATGGCAAGGAGTTTACTATGCAAGGGAAGTTTTTTACCTCTTCCAACTGCATGCACAACAGATGGGCCAAATCCTCGGATCTGGAATCCCAGACCATCCACTGAATCTGGGATTTTCACTGTCCTAAAGTCAACCAGAAAAGAAGGTAAGAAGAATTTTAAATGCCACAATTGATTAAAACAATAGTCGTCTACATCTCCGCTCCTTCTTTCAATAAACACATATTGAGGTTCTACCATGCAAAAGACAATGGGCTGGAAATCCTTGGAGACAAACATGGTCTCCACCCTCACAAAGGCACACAGCAGGCATGTGGTGCAGAGTTTCTAGATCAAACACAGTCATTACATAGAATTTCCTGAAAAGGAGCAGGCTCTGGGGTCAGACAAACCCAGCTTCGAAACTTCATTTAGTCCCTTCATAGTTGAATAACTTAGATACGTAAGCTCCTTAAGTTCTCTAACACAGAAAATTTCACAGAAACTTTCCACAGAAAGAGAATGCTGCTAAAACTTATTTTGCAGGGTGTTGGTGAGGATCCAAAGAGATGCTGTTGGTAAATTGCCCTGTATCACATGCAGTATGAGCTACATAGGTAGTTAATAAAATAGAAGCTTTTCTCATTAGTTTGTGGTTACAAAGAAGAAATGAGTGCCCTATGAAATTTCTATATAAAAATTCATACAGAAAAACCACAGAGTTAATACATTTAAATCTGTTTGGAACTTCATCAAAGAACAACAAAGAACTAGTTATAAAGAACAGATCTGTTGAGCACAACAACAAAATAATTTAAGAGTATAATTAATAACTTTAGGATTTACACAGTGAAAGTTTCAAAGAATAACAGATCAAAATGTAAACTTCAATAAAAGAAATATTCCCAATGAATCCACAGAGAAAACAACACCAAGAGATGAAAAACTTGATCAAGCCATTATGGCAAACCAGCAAGCGATGTCCAATTTGGCACTAATCAATGAGATACTACATAGGAGGAAGCCAGAAATCAGATAGCAGCAGTGAAAAGCAGAGAACACAGGATTAGATGGAACATTATAACAATGAAAACGAGCAGAACACACTGCAGGAGAGAGCAAAAACAAATGAATACAATGCAGTAAATTTTTTTTTTTTTGTCCTTTTTGAGACCGGCCACACCGCGCTCAGCCAGTGAGCGCTGTGAGCGTGCCGGTCATCCCTATATAGGATCCGAACCCGCGGCAGGAGTGCTGCTGCGTTCCCAGCGCCGCACCCTCCCGAGTGTGCCACGGGCTCGGCTCCAATGCAGTAAATTTTGATGGATGTCCCTTGATGCTCAAAACCAAAAGTGTTTTCAAATAGATGAATTAATCATGAAATAAATGTTGGCACCACTCAAGATCACATTAGACAGAGTCTGAAGTTAGGTACAGCAAGACTTACCAACAGCTTATGAAGTAGCATTTGGAGGCAGTTTGTGCAAGACTGTGTGCCTAGACCACTTGAGAAAGCCACAGACTGAGTTTAGGCTCTAAGGCAGAGGCTGGCACTGCAACCTCAAATATAACCTAGGCCGGCATTTGGTGAGAGAAATGCAAATTGTCTGTTCTAGGGAAACTTGAAAGTGTTACTGTAAATTAGGCTATACACTGTGAAGTGATCTGCATATATGTGGGATGGAGGTCACAGAATTGATTTATCCTTTATTCTTAAATACTTTTTGGTGTACAGGGCTGTATCCTTTTTTTTTTTTTTTTTTTTTTTTTTTTTTTTTTT